GCAGACTGAGTGGGGTGATGAAAGTGCTTAATCAATGGTAGTTGATGCCATGGTTTTTGTGGTGGTTTTGTTATCAGTACCACAGTGGTAATGGCTACTGCTGGAGACATCAGTAAAGAAAACACCAAAATAAAAAACCCCAAAACTTCCTTTTATTAATCAAATCAGTTCTACTTTTATTACTTAGCATTTAAGTTGCAGCCATTTATATTTGCAATTAGCCTGAAAATCATATTTCTCAGTCAGGACAACTGGGGGAGGGGGGTTAACATTATTACTCCCATTTTCTAGATGAGGAAAAGGCAACATTTCCACCTATTCTGTCTCCAGCATCTATGATTCTTTGGTTAAAGGCACCTGCCACAAGGCTCATTCGTTCTCCATGAAAAATGATACTCAATACAGATGTCAAATGCAGAAGAGAAGCATTAACAAGCACTTGATAGCAACCCAAAAATACCATGGGAATAAACACTTCTGAACATTAAAGTCACGGCAAATGAGTTCCAATTTTAAAAAAAGTCCTGGACAGGATTAAGGAAAAATGACAAATACATTTTTCTTTGTCCTCATTCATTCAGGAAATGTCTGAGGTAGCTTAGACATTCTTTTTGAAATGCAAGACTGAAGAGTGGTTAATTTCCTCTATGAAGGGTCTTCAATTAGCAGGTTGGAAGAGACTAATGTGTCCTGAACTTTTATCTTGAAACAGAGCTACAAGATAGAAGGGAGCTAAGATAGAGAGACCCAGTTCAGTGGTTACCAACCAAGGACATCTGGAAATCTGTGGACTTTATGCAAGGGAACCACAATCCAAACGTCATCACTCACTTACTGGACATTGACTAAAGGCTTGCCCATGTATGTATTCTTTTCCACATGTAGTTTCCATTAATGAAATACAAGATGCCTGTAAAAGTACTACTGGAATTCATACTCACTATATTTAACTCTGGAGTCCCTGGTGGTGTAGTGAATGTGCTTGGCTGTTAACTGAAAGGCTGGAGATCCAAGTCTACTCAACGGTGCCTCGAAAGAAAGGCCTGGTGATCTACTTCCAAAAAATCAGCTACTGAAAACCCTGTTGAGCACACAGTTCTACTGAGACACACATGGGGTAGCCAATAGTCGGAGTCAAGTCAATGGCAACTGGTTTGGTTTGCGGATACGTGTAACTACTATTACATAAGGGAGGTATCAATTTTTGTTGTTAAAAAGGGGTCTTCATACTCAAAAAGGTTGGGAAACACGGATCTAGTCCAACCCCCCCATTTTACTGATGAGGTCCCAGAGGATCTTGGGGACATCTCTTCCAATGTTGGCACCTAATTCATATGAAGTTAACAGTCAGAGCTGTATGCCTTCTCTGATGTCCTTTCCTCTTTTAAAGGGGAAAGTGTAGTTAGTCTTACCCTCAATCTCTGGATATGTTCCAGGAACTTTCTACATCTCCTAAGCCTCTCCTTTCCCTTGCCTTCCCTTAACTCCCATCCCCAAGTCTCCAGTTTGACACCTTTAGGGTTAGCACCATACTCAACCCCTTCAAGCTTGGATGCTCTGGAAGTGCCCTTGGACATTTAGTTTCATGTAAAATGGAAATGTATTCACCAACGTACTAAAACAAGGAATGTGTCAAATATGTACAAAATATACATATGAATGAATGTATCTTACAGTTAAAACCCCAGTGCTTCTAATATCTGTGCAAAATAAGAAAAGTGAAATATTCATGAAGTCATTTTATTTACTCTGGATCTATCAACACTAATAGGTTGTTATTAAACCCCTAGCTTACCAACTTTTCAAAATGCCTTCGCATATATTACTTTAGTTTATTGTCCTGATAGTTCACTAGGATATAAGTGCTATTGGAATCTAAGCAGCATGAAGAGATGAACTGGTATCTATTTTATTCACTGCTATTTCCCTAGTGCCTAGAACAGTGCCTGGCACATGATAGGCATTCAGTAAATACTTGTGTGAATGGCAGAAGTAGACAGGGGTGGGTGGTTTTATTTTTATTTGAGAAAATAGGCTGATTCTGTAAGAAAGGGGCACCGATGAGTTCCTAATAATCTCTTTTTGGTCTTCAATCCTCCTATAACATTTGAATTAACATTCCTCAAATATTTTCTATGGAATTTGTCAAAATTAAATAATATATTCATTTTAGGAAAATCAGACACTGGCAATATATAAAAAGAATAAAAATTCCACGATCCCATGGAATTAACAAGGGCCACACAATTAACATGCTCATGTATATCCTCTCAGACTTTTTTCTGTGCCTATATGCACACACACAAACACACGCATATCACATCCCCAAGACTATCGGCCCTAGCCTCCATGACTTGGATTTTTTCCTTTTTCTCTAAGCCCTTTTTGTTTGTTTCCTGTTATTGCTCCTTGCTCCCCTCCTATGCCCTAGGTATACTGCTTCCCCCAATATTTAGGTCCTTAGTTCAACTTTTCCCCCCAGAGGATTTATCTTTTATTTCAACTTTAAACTCTATGTGGATGGCTTATATCTGAATCTGCCATCTTCCCTTTTCTCTGGGATACATCTCAAACTCTACACATCCTACATTAACAACAAAGAACTCATTTTTGTTCCATTTCTGCAAACCGCAAGAGAATTCTAAGAGTTATCCTCAATAGTCATCTTTGGTTCCGTAACCCCACATCCAATTAAAGTCCTTTCTATTATTGTCTCTCTCATCCATCTCTTCCCATTGCTACCATTACAGTTTAGGCCTTCACATCTTATTTTCTACATGGGTCTCTTGCTTTCTGTACAACTAAACACTACTCCCATCAACCCTACCCACTGTTGTTAACTTCCTAAAGCACAGCTTCCATCTTGCCCATCCTATATTCAGAAATGTGCGGTTGCTTCCCACTCTTACAGAACGGTATCCAAGTCCCTTACAATCTAGCCTCAGGCTACTTTCCCATCCTTGTTTGTCATTATTCCTGAAAACGAACCCTTTGCTCCAGCTGGGCTGGTGTACTCATTATTTATCCAACTTAAAAAATATCTGATCATGAGTCACATAGTTATTGAACGTCTATGATGTGAAAAAAGCCCATTCGTTCTTTCAATAAATATTTATTGAACCTCAGTTCTGTCAGGTAATATACTGACGCTGGGGACACAGTGGTGAACAAGACAAAGTCCCTGTCCTCCGAGTTTAGAGGTCAATGGGTTACAGAAGGGAAACATCCAAGACATGGTGGTTTCAGGTTAAAATACTTCCAATCTTCCATTCAAATGCCAAATGAGTCAAGATATCCCTGAGGGTTGAAGGTTGTGGCCCTCGAGAAAGAGTTCAGGAGAAAGGAAGGGGTAGCAGGGTGGGAGCTGGAGTGTGGAACACGGCTTCTTTGAAGATGAGGGGCTCAACTCAGGCATTAAAGGATGGGTATAGGAGAGAAGGGGGTGCCTTCCATCCAGGGAGATCTGAGGAAAGGCAGAAAGGTGGAATGGAAACAACAGCAGCAACAGTACTGGCTTATTTTGTGTAAAGGTTCATTCAGCACCTATTCAGCAGAGAATATACTCCTGCCCTGTGAGGCCCAGGTTCTGCGGTGAATACAAAGATGACTCAGACTCAGATCCTACCATCTACGGGATTTCCATCTAGCACAGAGGATAAGGCAGGTCCATGGTGATCATACCACCACAGAAAGTGAGACATACCATAAGAGAGATTCAGAGAAAGCAGAGGGTGTTCAGAGGGATGTGCACAGCTGGGTTCATATAACAAACAGTACCTACAGAATCACATATTTATATACATCTACATCCACATCCTGCAGCTACTAAAAATAACTACCCTTTTTCGAAGTGCATTCTCGCTCACTTTATCATTCTATCCTAAGTGACTTGTGAAGCAAGAGTAGTAGGTAAGACTCTGTTTTGCAGATAAGCAAAGTGAAGCATAGATGTTTTCAGATCTGCTTAGGTCAGGAACACAAACAGGCAGGAGTAGAATAAGAACACCCTGTCCCTCTGGGCCCATTCCTGCAGCAGAAGAATCTATAGCAGAGGGTGCACATTAAGAAGTTCTATAATTGCATGGGACACATGGCAGGTAGTGAAACCAGGCAAGGCAGTTTGGATTTAAAAGGGCAGCTCTGAAGGGTTCTGAGAGGGAACAGGGCCGAATGACGCTCCTCTTTTCCAAATCTTGCCACTCCTAGGCCTGTCCAAACCCTAACCATCCCTTACGGTTTACCCCCAAATACTTTCGGCCCACACTGGTTTTTCCTTCCATTGATTTTACCCATGTTAATCATCCATGGGCATGGGCGGGCGCTTAGCCGTTTCTCTCCTGGACATCACAGTATGCTCAGCCTAGCACACTGCTCGGCTCAAGGAAGGTAGTTAACAATATCTGCTGGATGAAAGAGTTCCTCGGGCTTCCACAGCTTAGTAAGCATACCCGGAGCTCTTACATCCCTCCCGCAATGGAGTGGGCCTCTCCGCACTGGCCGCCCTCGGAGGCGCTCCCTAACCGCATGAACGAAGGTGGGGAAGGCGGGGTGGCCCGCGCGCGTCCCAGGGCCACGGGGAAGCCGGGGAGAGGCTCGCGTCCCCAGCTGTTAGTCGGCATAACGCTACGCCTCTGCAAGGAGGTCGCGACGCAAGTCCACGGAGGCGCTTTGAAACCGAAAAAAGAGCTTTAGGAGATCGTTAGGTGTTTTCTCGTCTGGAAAAGTCGGGGGAAGGTGATGAAAAACGAAACCGGGAGAGCCCTGACCTCTGTAGCTGAGGGGACCCTGCCCCAAGGCCCAATCCCTCCGGTAAAGGAAAGGAGGGGACAGGTCAGGAGGCATTCCCCCTTCGAGAAGAGGGAACAACTTTACCGCAGGAAGAACCTAGGCCTGGCTGCCTCGCGAGATCTGGGGTCGGGATCTCGTTGCGTTGCCTAGCGACAGGGAGGACGCTCGCGGGCCCCCAGGCTAACCCCCGCTGTAGGCTTAAATCTCCTACCATGGGGGAAGAAGGCGGCGGCCGCAGCTGTGGGACCACTAGGGAGCTGCAGAAGCTGAAGCAGCAGGCGATGAAGTACTACCAGCAGAACGACGTTCCGCGCAGGCTGGAAGAGCTGCTAAACTCCACCTTCTACCTCCAGCCTGATGATGTCTACGGGCACCTGGTAGGGACCTGGGACGGACACCCTCTTCCCTCCAGCCCCTCTCCCCCCGCCCCGCGCTGCGGCAACTCAGTGCGCACGCGCTGCAAAGTCGCGCATGCGCATTGCTGCCCCCGTGGGGTTTGTGGGGACTGGGGTTGGTACTGTGGATTCGCGACTCTCGAAGGGAAGACGTCGAGATGAAACCTGGTGGCCGAGGATGTTCAAGAGAAAAAGTAGTGGAAAGGAAGCAGCCAGAGGAAAGGGGATTCTGCTGCGCTGCTTAGGCGGCAGATTTGTACCTACGGCGAAAGCTCAGGGTCTGGCTACCTTCAGGCGGGCTTGCCATGGCTGCCAGTTGTCTTTTTTTAAACACAGATCTTAACACTGCATAGCTCAGCTTGAAAACTGTCACCAACCCTCCATTGATTCCATTCGCACAGTGCTTCCAGAGCAGTGTTCCCAATACTCAAGTCTGACCATCATTCTCTTGCTCAGAAACCTCCTGTAGCTTCCCCCTCGGATGCTGAGAAAGGACCGAATACCTTAGTGTAGGGTTCGTAGTGCTCGGCCCCTACCTCTGGTAACAGGCGTATCCCCCACTCCCTCTCCTGCTCCTCCACACTGGACCCTCACCATTCCCTGATGAAGGCTGAAGTTTTCCACTTTTCTTCCGCTTTGCTTATCCTATTGCCTCTACCTGAAGTACCTGCCCTCGACTTCTCCCCGTGCAGGATATTGAAATACTACACATCTTCCAATGTTCGGCTCAAATATGTTTCTTCTACTTTTCTTCTACCTATTAAAGGAATTCGGGGATAGGGAAGATCCCTGTAGGCAATAGCAGTACTGTTTATTCCTTCACCATGAAACTTAGGGTTGAAAACAGTTTTGGATTGTGAATCAAGCAGATCCGGATTTAATTCTTGGCTCTGCCACTTACCAGCTGTGGTAGACTATTATGTTGATGGTGCCCAATGAACCCCTCCTCTGGTATGAATGCTCTTAAATAAGTTCCTCCCACATTGACTCTGGACTTGGCCATATGACTTGGTTTGATCGGTAGGACCTTGGCAAGCATAATTCATACAGGCTTGATAAGTGCTGGCATATTGAGGCTTGCCCTCTTGGAACACCCAGTCTTGGAAGCTAGTCATCATGCTCTGAGAAAGTCTGATTACTCTGCTGGAGAACAAGAGATCATGTAGAGAGAGACCCTGGCAGATTTGAGACCTCCAGGATGTGAGAAAGAAAGATAGCCATGCACCCCTAGCTGTTCCAGCCATCCCACCTGAGGCACTAGACATGAGTGAAGCCATCTTGGATATTCTGGCCTCAGTCAAACCTCCAGATGGCTGCATCTGCATGGGAGACCCCAGGCAAGACCAGCAGAAGAATTACCCAGCTGAGCCCAGCCCAGATTGCAGTCATGAGCAAATAAATGGTTTCAGCCACTAAGTTTTGGGATGGTCTGTTACATAGCAATAGATAACTAAAACATTGGCTATGTGATCTTGGACAGTTTACTTCTGTGGAACTCAGTTTGCTCATCTGTGGAATGGAGGTGATACCACCTACCATAGAGTTTTGTGAATTTAATGACAGATTATATACAAAGTGCCCAGGGATGTGTCCGGCATTCATTAATTTATATATGATTTATGGAATTCTTTATATGCCAGGCACTGTGATACGTGATGCAGTGGTAAACAAGACACAGTCACTATTGTAAAGTACATATTAAGCACTCAAAAAATGTTAGTTCCCTTCCCCTCCTAATCTATCTGGCACATTGTAGGTGTTCTGTACTTGTTGAACTGAACTCACCACGATACACAAAGTGGAAGATAGGTAACATTTTTCCAGCCTCTGATTCTATCTAAATTCAGTTGGGCACTCTAACATGCAAACAACCCTTAAAATGCATGCATGGGAAAATTGGCGTTTGCTTTAGTTCTGCTGGGGTGCCACCTCTGAGCTGGCACGTTGCTGATGAGTGTTAGATGACCTGTTACCTAAGTTGAGGTCATTGGATTTTTGAACTGAAAGATCAGATAGCTGGCCTGCTAAATGAAAACTAAGAGCCCAATACTATCTGGTAATATTACTGTGTGGTAATAAAGAAGGTGCGGCAGCTGTGTCTTCACTTGCCCTTCTCTCCTAGCTCCTGCTCCTCTGCATAGAAACGCCATCTTGAATCTTTTTATTCAGGCTCCTTGAATGGGCTTTCTACCTCAGCTTCATTTTCTTTCTTCAGTTTCTTTCTTCGATTATTTCCAAATGGCTTCTGCTTTTCCACATCAATGAAACTGCTATTAGTAAGGTCCCCAACAATCCTTTTTGAACACCTAGGACTATGCATCAACTGGCAGTGAAATATAGCTACTGCATAAGTCTTTGCCATTATAATACTAGATGCCTTGCTGGGAGGCATAAAAAGCAGTCCACTTCAGGTTTCTTAAATTCGAATGCATCATGGTGTTCTAGAGACCCGTTGACTTCTGCATCTTGGACAGAGGGATGGGTTAGGGAATTGGGTTGAGTATAAGAAGGTTTGGTAAAGAGTGACACGAAGCCTTTAAATTTAAAAAAAAAAAGAAGATGCAAGTTTTTGCTGAGAAACAAATTGCCTCATGTACCAGAGACTCAGCATCGAACTGAGTCCAAATTGATTGCATTACGGAAGGGCAGTTCCCACAGAGCTACTAGTCTAAGCTTGGCACCAGGAATGACACTCAGAGGCTTAGTAGAAACTAAAAGGAGTAAATGTGAATGACCCGTTGAAGATAAATTAGATGTGGCATTGTGATTTTTTGTTTTTTGTTTTAAAGGCAAACTGCTTTTCTAAACTTGCAAAGCCTCCCACCATATGCAAAGTAGTGGGGAAAAACGTGCTGGATGGACTGGGCCTTCCAACCCTACAAGTGGAAATATTCTGCACCAGTCAAAATTTTCCCAAGGTATGAGGAAGCTTGAATGCCTTCTTCAATGTGTCCTGGCTCCACTGCATTTATTAGCAACTCTTGTCTAAATTGTCACAGTGAGTTGGAACCAACTCGAAGGCAGCTAACAACAGCACCTTGTCTAAACTGTAGAAAATAATCTGAATGTTTTGAAATTTCAGTGTTTGCGAACTATATATTAATACTATTCATAGGTAGTCATCTATAGAAAGCATGAATCTATAATCAACCATGATGACTTCATTATCTTTAAGTGTAATTTTTGTACAGACATGACTGCTACCTGAAGATGATCCAAGACAGAGAAAGGAAGTGAGGCAAACATAGTTTTAAATTCTGACATTATCAATGCAATCAGTTCTATATCTAGTAGATTTATAGATTCCTATATCTATATGTAAGTTTATATGCATTTATAGATATGTAGGCTGAGCTACCTAAATAACTTAGTTTGATAGGTTTTATTGCTAATAGCAGTTTTTGTGTTTAGCATGCATATTTGTTGTTAGAAACAATTTTGCTACAGTCTCTTGGAGAATAATTATGATTAAATCTGTTAGCATTCTTTTAGCTATTTATTGGCGAGGCAGTGATAAAAATGAAGTTCAATGTAGAGTTTTTATAAAGGCATTTTAACGAGGTAATGATTTTAAATGTTCCTTGAAGTTGGGTTCCACAGTGTTCCAACAGCTATAGAAATATCTCAAAGAAAATTATATATTCTCATCTTCCCCTTGAAGTTGATGATAAAATATCATGTACATTAAAAGCTGGATTAATTGAATTTCCTGTTTTCTGTGAGAGCTAGGAACAATGTAGACAAATATTATTTTCAGAACATATGTTCTGTGGTGATCTCATCTCACTTTGAAGTACACGAGAACGCTTTGCCTGAGCTAGTGGAAGCGGAGGAATTGGAAAGGAATGACGCCATCAGCACTGCTGTGCAGTGGGTCAACGAGGCGATCACTGCGGAGCTTCAGGGCATCGAACCTTCCAACCAGGCTGAAGTGGATCAGTTGCTCAGGTAACTCTTCCACTTTGAAACATAAGTGTGAGACATAAATATGTATCTGTTTTCTTTCCATTTCACATACCAATATAAGGGGTCTGTGGTATCAGTAGCGTAGAGCTGCAAAGTCAATTTAAGAAGCCCCCCCAAATAACAATTTTTTTCCTTCTGAAAGCCCAGTTATTAAAATCTTACTGTGTAAGGCTACATTAGGCCTTTCGGCCTCTTTTCATGCAAAGAGCTTTCCTATGATTCAGTAAAAAGTTTCTCAGGAAAAGGATCAAGTTAAGAATCCAGATGATGTCCTTTCCCATCCTCATCCCTCATTTCCCACTTTCTGAGCTTCTCGTATGCTTTCATGTCGTTGCCATTGCTCACATTTACATTCTGTGCTACAGCCACAACTGAGCCTTCCAGGCTTTGTCCAAAGATTAACTCTAAAAATTGAAAACCAAGGAAGTGTTTACATTACCAGGGCTATGTAAGTACTGTTCAATGCCCAACCATGGAATGTGTTAGAATTACTTCTCCTTTTGTGCAGGTCTCACACTATAACCCTGTAAGTCAAACGAAGATCCAATGAATTCTCTTTCCCTAAGCTTCACCACTTGCTCACTTGTGAATAGTATCACATTTTTGTTTGCTTCAAAGGTGGAGCATGACTTTTGTAAAGAACTTTTTTGAGTAGATTGTTTTCTTGGAGTTCCTAAATGCTATTCCTTTTATTTATTTTTTGCCCTTGTTTGCTATTATCATATCCTTAATTTTTTCCAAGCTCCCAGTCAAACCAGTCAACAATTCTGTTACATTCCCTTTTTCTTTCCCTGGAGCTTTACCTCTCTAAATCTCCCATCTGTACTGGTTCCTCTCTTGGACAACTACAGAGATACCATAAAGACGTCTCTCCCTGGTCCCCTGTTTCCCAGGTTCTATATCTTCCCCCTTCTTGATTTGCTAGATTACATCCTTCAAAAGTAAAATGAGAAAGAATATGTAGGATATAGATTTTTGAGTTCTCACTTGTGTGGAAATGTCAGTACTCTGCCCATGTGGTTGATAGTTTGGCTAAGTATAGACTTCTCAGTTAAAGTCAGTTTTCCTCAATACTTCGAAGGCATTGCCCCATTGGCATCTGGATTATTAATAAGTCTGATGCAAATCTGATTCCCATGTCTTTGTTGTTTGTTTGCTTGTTTTTATTTGTGGAAGATTTTAGCCTGTTCTCTTT